CGGCCCCCAAAAAATTTTCGGTCATGGTGGATTGTTTGAAATTCATTTTTTTAAGTTTCTACACATTTATATTCCAGAGAATGTAAATAAATCTAATATAGAGGCCCGTGAAGCTAACTATTATCTGAATGATTCATTCATTTACCGCATCTTAAGCATTTGTAGACTATTTTAAGCCAGAAAATATTTTAAGATTGTAAGAATATTTTTTGGAGGGGGATGGTAAAAATTCCCAGTAATGAAACACCAGGCCTGGGTGCTCCAAGAATCAGGCATTGTGCCAGAATTAGCTTTATGCTACCTCAACCAATAGTTGGCCAGTTGACTTCAGCAACCATTAATAAAGAATTCAATCCTCATTGAATGATGCATAAATGTAGCCTTGTACCAAACATGGATTGGGGTACCTGTATAAAAAACTAGCAGTATAACCAGTCTTCAACCAGGTGTTTCATTACTGGGAATTTTTACCATCCAATTGAAGCAGTTTAAGTTTAAAGTCAGCCCACCCGAAAATCAATATTAGTAACAACAATTGGGCGCAACTGAGGCACATCCCTAAATAGGGGGTTAATCAATTTGAATGGGGGTGGCCATGAAAAGGGCCATTTTTGTGTTCTCAATCTTAATTCAGCCTCACGCACAGCAGCAGTTGAAGGGGTGTTTTTCCTCAGCCGTTGAGTCCTTTGATCATCATTTTCAGCCTAGCGTGCAGAAGCATTCAGGTATGCTCATCTGAAAAGCCGATGTCTACATTGATCTTCGGACTCAGTGTCTCCGATTGAAGCATCCTGAGAGGCATTTTGAGACAGGCAAACTGAACGTTCTAAAGATGATACATTATCTCTTATTCACATGGTAGACCTGGCTGCAGCAGTTTTGCAATCTAGGCAAGTTCTTTTCTTTGGTGGCATGTCTTAGGCAAGTATGAATTGTCAAATGGAATGTGTGGGCAAATACCAGAAGAGAACGCTCTAAAGCTGCAGGGATCACTAAGTTCGAATAACTTTAGAAAAGGTTGGAAAAATAAATGTTGAGTAATAAAAAAAGCAAGCTTACTTATTACTACCGTGAATGCAATGCAAAAACTGGTAGGATAATAAAAAAAAATTAAATTGGGAACGGTTATAAACAATAATGAAAGCAACGCCTTTAAACTGTAGTCGTAGGCTTTATGCAATGGAAAAGGTAACCTCACTTCAGAGAGAATGAATGTTTGGCCAAGAGATGAGGAATGCGTAATTTGGACTCAAAACTGGCACTGAAGAATTATCTATCGAACAAAAAAATTCATCGAAATTGGATGAAAACTGTGGAAACACATAAACAACATCCGATCACACACACGCATTTTGAAAATTATAGATATAGAAGATGTTAGCAAATTTCATTCCTCATTGGATACTTCATAAATCTGGCCTTGTACGTAACTTGTCAAAATGAGCTGAAAAGTTTAGCATTGTATTTGGCTTATTATTAAGTAGAACTCAACAACTTTCCACCCCATAAAAAAAAAAAGTAAGTTAGTCTTATTCCTTGCCAAAATTTATTGTGACTAAACAAAAATGCCATTGAGAGATCAATACAGGAGCAAATAACAAAGATAAAGTATGGAATCTGACAAAAATATACAAACAACACAATAAAAATATTTCAATTTTCTCCATGAAGAAAAAACACATTGGAGGTACTGGTGGCTTAACGGCTAATAGCATTAAAAATGGAACTGGTTATCAAAGTTCAAATTTTGTCTGTGCTTTCACTTTGCTGTAACATCCTTGGGAAAATCACAAACCCACTTCTGCTAACACACAACAATGACTATATAAGAGAGCAATTAAAATCTTTATTCCTGTATAGTGAATCCAATTTGTTTGTCAGGCTTTCTTTCTTTTTTATTTTATTTTTTTTAACCATTCATCTCAAGCAAGGTGGCAATGCTACTAAGACGCAAGGAGTTACTGAGAGTAAAGAAGAATGAGAAGACTTTAGTGAGGTGAAAGGAGAATAAAAGTAAAGAATTAAAATTTTGTAAATTGTAGGTGGCAGGGAAGCAAAAAATTTAAATGGACAAATGCGAGAAAAAAAACTGTTATAATAGCATACATAGTGGGAAAGCAAATCAAAGGGAGATAATTCAAAACTAATACGGTTTCAAATTGTTCAGGGGAGATAACTTTAAAGACTTCTTTTTTTTTCTTTTTTTACAATGGGAGGCAACTCGAAAAATTTATTGCAAGGGAAGCAATAATTTTTCTAATAATCCCAGATTTGATGTCCATATTTTTTTCTCTTGTCGTTAACAAGAATGAGGAAGGAAAAACTGGTCTTTCTTTGTTTCTTTTATGTGAGAAGTCCTTTCAAAACGTGGGAGAACATGGCTCTCCACAACATACTGTTGCATCAAGTAATTTTTTAACAATTTACCGTCCATCTTTGTTCTTGTTCTGCCATCAGACAAACTCATTCAGCAGGTTACTCACTCTTTGTTTCTCTTGCACTGAATGTCTACTGAGTCAACTTCTCCAAGCCGTCTTTCCTCATTAAGTAAAAATGTCGTTTTTGTTCCCTTTTTCCCTAAAACTTCCTCATTGCTCACATATTCTGCCCATGGTATACTTAGCATCTGTCAGTAGAACCACATCTCTGTCTCTTCTTCATCTTTGAAACAATTCTCCAGCATCTACTGCCATATAGGAAATTTGATATTACATAGCAGTTCATCACTTTTCTGTTTCTAATGTATTAAGTTTATGTTAAACAACAGCAGTACACAGACTGGTTGTAGTGGATATACATGGTAGCATAAACAGCAGCTTGAAATCTTTAAACTGGTTTTTAACTGGTTTTCCTTTGCCTTTCATAGGGTGACAGGTCCTAATGAGGAAGTACTCATCGCCAGCTGATCAGTGAGTAAGAATTTTCAGCAATGTTTAGCATTCATGCCTGCAAAAAATACACTGTGTCAAACGTATGGTTATTCCTGTGACACTGCTATGACTGTATACACTTTTGACTCCCTCAGCAATGTTTGTTTTTAAAAAGCAATGACTAAAATTGGAGTAAATCCCAAACATATGAAAGCGGATTTGTACATTTCCTTTATCTTTGAGAATGACTACAAAACTGTTAAACACTATGTATTTATCAGATTGCTTATTTAATCTTTAGCAGATTCAAAAAATTTCAAATTGAGTTTTTTTTTTTTTCAAAAAAAAAAAAAAAAAAAAAATTTTTTTAATTTTTAAAAATTTTTTTTAAAAATTAAAAAATAAATAATATATAATAATTGCCAGAGTTTCACGTCACGGATTTCTGTTCATTAGTCATCTTTGATCCATGATCACAATTATAAAAAATTTGAAAATTAAAACAATTCAAGGTATAAAATAACCAGAAAAGAAACTGTATTATATCCAGAAATTCCAAAGTTTATTTAAATTTTCTTGTTTTATGTTTCATAGATATTTTCATAAAATTATGAATAAAAAACTTGCTTCATAGTTAATTCTTTATAAAATGATAAATAATAAATATTACATTGTAGTTGGTTTACAAATTTTGATAATTTTATAAATTTTTGACTATTAAGTCAAAAATTATTTTAAAAATCAATTAAAATTTTTTAACTTAGTATAAAAATAAAGAAAAGCCTACCTAACATCAATAAATAGTGCTTAAATTTTTTAATAAAAAAAATTTCTTTCCAAATTTATTTCTATAAAAAATAGCAATTAATAAATACTGCATTGTACTTGATTCACATATTTTTATCACCTGGTAAATAAACATCACCAAGGGAGGCAAATGTGCATGCAGTAATAGCAGTGTCAAGGGAATAATTCTCCTTTTGCGGGCACATTTTTTTGCGGGCACAACTTTGCCAACGTTTGTCAAAATACAAACATCATTGTTTTTGTTCGTGTATTGTTTAATATATGGTAATGTAATTGTCATCTTTGATAATGGCTTATCTAAGCCAAAAGCTTAGATAGGATTAAAAAATATGTATCAATATTTTGATTTTCTTTCTTCATTTAATGATAATGTTATTAAGCTTATCAGACGATAGGAAAAGAATTTACATAAAATAAATAGACAACACTTGTCTATATTATTTAATGAAACATGCATCATACTTATTATAAAATGCAGATTGTGTGTGTGTGTGTGTGTGTGTGTGTGCCAAAAATTGGAAAAACACAATTGTTTTTGCATGAAATCAATTTGAAAACACGATTAAGAGGCATCACGAGAATGAAAGGGGGACAACTCATATAGAGTTATACTTAAAACCCAGGTTGTTTGTGTGTGTGTGTGTGTATGGGTGTGAGAGAGAGAGAGTTCGATTATAATTGGGATCGGATTTCCTACATTTTTCAACCAATTTCAACAAAACTTCACTTTTTTTTTGCAGGTAGTGTTTCTTATTGTCTTGCACACTTTTTTCTCTATTTTTACATTCAGAACGCTTTAAAAATTCCATTTACAAGACAATTGTTTATAATAAAATTCTATTCAATCAGTAGACTCATAACGATTGAAAACAATGTTTTTGTTTGGGTTTGACCAATTCGTAAAAAAAAAAAAATAATTAAGACATGCGTGTCCGTCAACCTTAAACAATAAACTTTGTCAATTTTATTTTTCAGTCTTTATGATGGTCGATACTTGATCTCTTACTGTTACATCCCGGGCAACGCTGGACTCTACTGCTAGTCTATATCTATATATATATATATATATATATATATATATATATATATATATATATATATATATAAAATGTATAGAAGTCAAGTAAAGTCAATATCGGGAACTTTGATTATACTGCTGCAAGTTTCCCAGTTAGCTCTCACTCCTTTCCAAACATCCCTGACAAGAGGGCTAATGTGAGCAAGGCTGCACTCCCATACATGCAGTCCTTCCATGTCTTCCTAGGAACCCTGAACTCCAAGAAATGCATTGAAAATGGCAAAGAACGCAAGTGTTACTATTTAAGAATTAATGCAAGAATTACTGATAGAATAAGGTTATTATATGTGTAATGTAAATGTATTCTTATTGATGACTGATAAAATAAGGCTATTTTTGTATAATGTAAATGCTTTTATTACAGAGATGCATACGAAATAAAAGAAGAAAGGTTTTGTCAATGGTTCTGAATTAATGCAAACATTACTGACGAGCAGAATAGGGATTTTATATTTCCAATTCAAAGCCATGTGACCTTTGATTTGAATATCCTTAACCCACAGGTTGCTCGTTGCATGACAACTGTGTCAGGCATGCAAAATCTAGAAGCAATCGACTTACCTTGATGAGGTAGTCTCGGATGTAAGTAACATGAAGACACTGAATTCCATTTTTCTGCAGAACGACAACATCTTCCCAAAAGCTGGAGTCCACAAAAATGTGTGTGACAGTTCCGCTCACTTTCTGTACGTTCTTGATCGGCAACTTTAACATGTACAACACAGCACCTCCATAGCAAAGCAAACTGGCCAGTGGAGAGAGAAAAAAAAAAAAATCAGTAAAGAGAAAAAACTTTTTTTTTTATTATTTAAAAAACACCGTTATTTCGTAAGTTACATTTTGGGTCTTATAAGCCCCTTATTTTTTGTATCAAATAAGAGACAATGGGACATGATCATCAAGTGGCTGAGGACACCAACAAGGTGAACCTAAAGTGTCGACAGATTTATGACAAACAAAAGTAAAATCAAGAGCTTCAAAAGAACCACCTCCTGTCCAGAAGTAGGAAAAATAACATGAATTATGAGGAGAAATGCTTTCTTCACCTGTGGCAGAATGCATAACTCGCACAACTAAAGATTTTCAGTCACTGTGCATTTTTATACGGCAATGCATCGCCACAAGTGGGCGAGATTGCTGGGGAATGTGTGTTTTTTATTGACACCATCTCTATAGGGTGCGATGGGTAAATTGTCGCCATTTCATATTTTTAATTTCACACATTGTCTTTGGCTGTCGACTGCACATAGTAGGGTCAGTTGGGCATCGTCTGTGAGACAAAGAGCACCATGACGCAATTCACTCCACCAGAAATTAGGAAACAGCATGCTGTACTGAGTGGCATTCACACAGAAAGCGCCAATACAAACATTTCAGAATGTTTGGGTGTCAATCTGAGGCCAGGGCAGAGGATTTGGAAAGAGTTGGAGGAGTCTAATGATGATTACGAAGGTACAGCAGCTCAGAATATTTTCTCTGATCATTCTGATAAGAAAAGAATTCACAAATTTGTTGGTCAGAGCCTCAGACTCAACAAAGAGGCCTATGTCTTGAGGAAATAGTGCTGCTCTAGGTCAAGAGGAGGGATACTGGAAGACCCAATGTCTGGCAACAGGACTCTGCATCATGCCACACATGCAAGAGAACCTAGTCATGGCTGTCAGACAATTTCTGTGACCACATCATCCCTTTACATCTGGCCACCTAACTCCCAAGACTTCAACCCCACTGATTATTATGTGTGGGGCAGATTTGAGTGAGAGACCAACAAAACTCCTTGTAACAACAAGGATGAACTGAAGGCAAGAATTATGGCAGCATTCATCAAATTAAACAAGGAAACCACCCAGAAGAGTTGCAGGAGATTCCAAAGTTGTCTGGAGGCCATGGTTGAAGCCAATGGTGATTTTATTGAATAAATTTACTCTTTAGTATTTCAAGATATATTTTTTCAATGTATATATTTTTGTGTAATGCTATAAATATATCTATTAAAATGAGATGTCAGTGTCATTTTTGAGTAATTTAGACGACAATTTATCCATCGCACCCTGTAGAATGGTTGCCAACCAAAGCAATAGAATCCCATCTGTCCTGCTATTTAACCAATAGCTGGGAAGAGAAGATATGGATTCATACCTTCTCCAAGGGTATTTGTTCAGAAGGGGACATATAGAACTCGACTGGAATGTCTTATTCAGAATTGCTATCCATTACACAACTAGCACATCCAATGAATGTTACTGATAATTAAATAAAATCTTTCTGGATCAAGTGCCACTTAGTCGGAAGCTAGAGAATTCCAGTTGCATGTTTATAGAGTCAGGCCAGATTCGAGGATGACCAGTGACAAGCCATCCATCCTGATGTAGAGATGGTAGGAGAGAGTCTGCAGTCACATGAAAGACATGACCCAGCTATCAAGATATAGAGGCAGTTAGAATGGTGGCAAGTTATGAACCATCCATCAAGATGTAAAGTCATGGACAATCAGAGAAGGACAGAGGAACAGTTAAAGTTCTTGCTGTCCAAAGAGAAGATCTGGTCCATTAGTCTGTCATGGCAAAAGAGAGACATAGCCGCAAAGATGTCACCATCATAGCAACAGTGCCAGGTTGGAAACAGGATACATGCTTTCTTTACTTGCCATGCCAATATTTCACTTCCCATTCATTTGTTGAACACAAGCTGGGCATTTCCCAATTTTTGTTCACATTGACTCCAACAAGAATCGGAACACAGAGTGAAGCTACCTAGCCAGTGAAAGAGACCTGATCATATGTCCACATGCAATCAAAGACTTTATTTTCTATCATTAAACTTTTGTTTTCTTTCCTGAAGATATACAGGAATCATTCTGATATGTCCCGAAAAGGGATATATTTGTTCGAAGTAGCAAAGTGGTTTGGGACTACTGTAACTGAGTAGGACAATCTAGCAGGTAACCGTAATGGACTGGTCCTTGTCAAAGTGGTAGGCAATAGGCGTAGGCAAAGACTATAGGTGTAGTCAATAGGCGTCCTCTAGGCCTCGTCCCCACATCAGTCTGTATTTATGGCTGACATCAGCCAATCCTAACTGTGAGGAGGAACCCAGGTGTATGCATATTCATTACATCACATTCGATTAATGCTTTTTCAATTAGTACGCTAAAATTTTTTTATACCAAAATTCAATTAGTACATGTATAATACTCAGTGTGATAAAACATTCTTCAGTTTAACCATTTTCTAAAATTTAAAAATGGGTAACTATTTTGTTTGTTAAGTATTACATTATCTAATTACAGTGGTGTTAAAAAAATTGGATGGTCATAAATAGATAAATTTTTATAATATAAGCCAATAATAAAAATACATATTTGGATATTTGTCTCTATTAATCTTTTTGAATATTTGATTTATTTTCATGTTTATTTTGAAGGCCTAAAAAATGAAATTTCTGATTTTGTGTTTTTAAAAAAAAAAAAAGGACAATTTAATTACACTTGGTTTGGTTTTTATTTTACAACATATCAACCTCAATGGCTTATTTAATGCCGACAAAATATTTATAGCTGGTTTTTCTTCAAAAATCAATTTCTGGGAATATTTTTCCTTGAAGAAATCTATAGCTGGTCATATTTTTTTTTCAAAGAATGTATAGCTGTTTGTATTGCTGGTATTTATTTTTTCTTTTTTTTTTTTTTTTTTTTTTTAAGTATTGCTGATAATAATTTTTCCTCCAAAAGTTATTGCTGGTAATATTTTTTTTATTACAAAGTATTTCTGGTATTAAAACCTATTTGTACACAAGTTTTGGTGTTAACTATTTTCCCATAGCTGAGACCCTAACAGGTGCTACCACCCCGGGTCAGGGTGGATTTGGAAACACCAACAATTAAGAGGTGATTCCACGCTCATCAAAACCTCCTGATCAGAGGCTTTGCTGTTGGACGTAGTTTATCGTCTTACCCAGGACGCAGATGTAGTTTATCATGTTACCCAGGACATACTATTTAATTAGATACAGGAATTTATATTTATTAAAAAATATCGAAATATAAAAAGATGTATGCATTTACTATGGAAATATAAATACAATTTTCAGGTTAAAACACTAATGATTATATATGTGAAAAATTTCCAAAAAGAGAAAATATATAACATAAGTGTTGTAGCATATCTACAGACAATAATGGTTATGTCCCCATTCACATAAATAGAGTAGTAAATACTGTATGTTGGTCTGCAGTTGAAGATTCATCTCTAGCTGTGTTGATCAAACTCTCTGCCTCCGCGCAGAGAGGATCCCCAGAATGTCAAAGGGCAGAGTCTCATCTCAGGAAACAGCTACCCAACCCTGCTTTATACAGGGTCTACAGGGAATTTTTGGTCATGCCTACAAGCTTGGATACCCCACATTAAATTCAGCCTTGTGCTACATCTGACCGTGTGGGGTAGTTGGTAGATATCCTGCAGTTGGAGATTCATTGTGAAATTCACTTGACTCAATTCTAGCAGTTGATTACTACTTCTATGCACCGCTGATGAATCCTATATGTGCTGTTCTTGTCCTAAGTATTATCATCCATTACCAACCTTCATTTGATTGTTCTATTCAGTAACCTTCCCTGGGTTATAACAATAAGGTTCTTTTTTTTTTGGCTTTAGATTGTCATATTTACCTATTCGCCAGCATAAGATGACAAAGAGAGAATCAGAATAATTTTTCAGGGTCACTGAAGAATTTAAAGGAATATGTTTAAAAGCAGACACTGATGAAAACAGAAGCTGACAAATTTGCAGAAAAACTGAACGTGCAATTTCTCAGTAATGCCATTTATATGAAGAACAGAAGAATACTATGTGGCAAACCACTCTAAATAAGGTTTTCATAAAAAATCAGATTAATAAACATTAATTCATAGCATTTTTATAGTATCTTCTCATATGTACCTATATTTTAATAAAAAAGTATGCAAATCAGAAATCAATGAGACTAAAATTCGAGGTACAAATTACATCATTTCCTCTAAGTTATTATATTCGATTAATATGTTTTCAATTACTGCGTAGATTTTAATGTGCGTATTAGCCGCATTAATCAAGAGAGCCCTGTATATGCAAACACATATAAGTTGATATAAAACCAACAATCAAATTGAGACAGTTCATAATTAGCAAAGAGAAAATGCACAGGTTGACAACGATGGATGTCAGTAAACTGAGATTGATAAATAAACATCAAGGCAAAAAGAAATCTAGACAAAGAAACAGAAAAAAAAAAAAACAAATAGAAAAGAATTTAAGACAGATATCAATTTTGCATTCATTGGAGCTAAGGCCTCGGCTGGTCATCAATGACCATCCATAGATTTGATCCCATTTATCTGCTCCTCTGGAATATTGCTGCCTGTGGCTGAATAGGCCAATGTGTGTGGCATTCTCTGTCACACAAGTCACACCTGTGAATTCTCTGTGTGTTGTCTATGCTGCAGCATTTTTTTTCTGTGGGTCCATTTGTCTTTTGCTGCGTTGTTCAGTTTCTCCTCCACCGACATTAGTTGTTTAGTCAGGGTGCTTCTCCACCCAGAACGATCAGCAGCAAGGTTCTCCCAGTGGTCACTATTGATCTCAAGGGCATTCATTTCCCTGTTACAGACATCCCTGAGAGCAACTAGTGTCTCTTTTGCCATTTGCAAGTTCCCTGTAGACAATGTCTTTAGGAATTCAGCCATCCTCCATATGACGAACATGACCCACCCATTGAAGCCTGCACTCTCTGAGCAGAGTAAACATGGTTGTTAGGCTGGCACAAGACACAACTTCAGTGTTGGGCACTTTGTCCTTCCACAATATGCCCAGGATGTGGCGGATACACCTCAAGTGAAAAGTGTGCTTATGACGCAAGTATTGTAGACTGTCATCTTTGTCTTGACAGAGAGCTTGGAGTTCTCACACTCATGTGGTGAGGCAAGCGAATGAGGTTGCTGCTTTCCCAAACCTCCTGTCTATTTCTGTGTCCAGGGTGAGATCACTACTGATCGTAGACCTGTGGTATATGAACTGCTTCACAACTTCCAGCTCGTAGTTGCTAATGGCGATGATTGGTGGCACATCTACATCCTGTCGTAGGACATTTGAAGTCCTTACAGACCTCATAGAAGTGATTCATCAGCGTCTGGAGCTCCTCTTGTGTGTGGGTTGCAACTGCAGCTAACAGCATGTCTCTGGTCATAGCCTCCCATACTTTTGTTTTGGACTTGAGGTATGTGAGATGAAACAGCCTGCTGTCCGATCTGGTGTGAAGGTAGAACCCCTCTGCTGTCTTGTCAAAGGCATGCTTCAAGAGCGAGGTGAAGAAAATCCCAGAGTGTTGAGGCAAGGACACAGCCTTGTCTGACGCCATTGTGCATGTCAAATGGCTCTGACGTGCTTTCGTCATACTGTACTGCCCACTTCATGTTGATGTGGAAAGATTCAATGAGGCTCTGCAGTTTTGGTAGACATCTTATATCAGGCAGGATCTTGAAGAGACCCTCTCTGTTAATCAAAGTCAAACACCTTCGTGAGATCGATAAAGTCGATGTTCAGGTGCGTGTTCTGTTCCCTGCATTTTTCCTGTAGCTGGCAGAGAGAGAATATCATGTCTACTGTTGATTTGTTGGCACAAAAGCCACACTGCAATTCAGAGTAAACACGTTCTGATTCGTGCGTATATTTGGTCAACAATACTGAGGAGAGAGATCCCTCTATAATTGTTGCAGTTGCTTCTCTCGTCCTTGTTTTAATAGAGGGTGATCATCTTGATATCCCTCATATTCCAACATTGCCAGAAGACTTCATGCAATGGGAACAGTGGGGCTGTCTTGTAGTACTTAATCAAGTTGGATGATATTCCATCACTGCCTGATGCCCCTCCCACAGCCAGATTGTCAATGGCCTTGAGCTCACCCAACGTTGGTTCAGCATCCAGTATATCCAGGATAGGCAAGTACATCCATTGGAACAAATGGAGAAATATAGACAAACAGATAGCAATAAGACAGATGAAAAAAAAAAAAAAAAAAAAATACTTCATACTAACCGGTGATAAATTTTTCTTTTCTTGTGATTTTTTACCAGAATGGCCACTTTCCACTGGTGAAAGGCATGACACTTTGACTGCTTCACAATTTTCCGCCAGCGAGAAGGGGCCTGGCACATTTGCACTTGAGAAGAATCCTTTGGCTCAGCTTTGGAGGCTGTCCACTCATAATCGTATTCTACAACCCAGGCACCCTTTTTGGCACTGTCATAGATGAACTGAGGGGTCAGAACCCAGAGGCCTACAAAAGACAAAGGGAAATATTAGCCTTTCCAATTGATGCAAATGAGCAACATTATTGTAGCCTTAGTTATTTGTGTAAATTGTAATGAGTATAATGCAAGGGTAACCTTTCTGGATAATCACTGTGAACAACATCACTTTAGGTTCAGCTAGGGCTCTTAACTGAGATAGTTTGTTTATTTTTTATTCAAACTTTTTTTGTGATGTGGTAAATCCACGTATTCTAACATTATATAAAAAAATGTAAAAATAGAAAAAATACAAAACTTATCCCCCACTTTATATCCAATAGTATCTTATATTAATACTACCCATGACACAAAAAAAAATGGCAACATATTTTGCTAAATGTTTAATGATATGAGGTTTTCATATATATGTCTAAATATAATTTTTTTACAATTTTTTTTTTTATCATTTCAACAAGGCAATAAAGCAATTAAGATGCCTGAATTTAATTTGTAGTAATTTGGTGGGGGGTCGAATTATTACTCAATATATCAATATAAAACCAAACACTGCTGGTAGAATTTGACATTAATACTAATTTACCCGTGCCAGAAAGAGCAGGTGGATATAATGGATAGTGATGCAGAATGAGAAATCAGAGAGAGAGGTTCAAATTCCAGTCAAATTTGTTACATTCGCTTACATGCAAATGAACTTGAGAACTCCCTCATCTATGGATTAAATAGTAGAACTAGTATCTAAAAAAAAAAAAAAACAAACAAAAAAACATTGTTATTCTCAACAAATTGTTAATGCAATATTCACTGGTAAACTAAACAATTATCTTTATGATCTCAAAATATGTTTCAGCCTTAATCCTTTAGCCTTCAACGACCAGAAACCTACCTCATAAATATCAGCTCCCAAAGTCTCACTGTTTGCATGACTTCCCACATTATTTGTGATGATGTGGTCACATATTATAGCAGAGTATACATGGGGCAGATTATGGCAGGTTGAACATTAAGAGCTGATATTTACTGGACAGGTTGAATGCTAAAGGATTTAAATACCCACCAAGAGTTGATAAGCCATAAAAAACAGATCAATCAACATTCATGCCATAAAAAATGACAACATATTTTATTTAGTCCTTTATATAATTAGAACATTTTCTCATATGACACTTTAAATCAATTTTCTAATTTATGATGTAATAAATCTGGTGGGGGGGATCAGTTTGTTACTGAATAACAATCTAAAAACGATCCCTCATTTTAGGTACAGTAGAATCTTATATTAATATTAGTTTACTCTTTTTGTCAAAAATGTTGACATAATCTGTTAACTGTATTATTCTAGTATTAGAAGATTTTCACATATATGTTTTTAAATATATTTTTTCAATTATATTGTCTTAATTCCGGAGGTGGATCAGTTTATTACTGAATAACAATATAAAAATGATGGCTTATTTTATGTCCAGTAGAATTTTATATTAATGAGTTTACCCCTTTTTTTGTCAAAAATGATGATATTTGTTAAATCTGTTATTATATTATTAGAAAATTTTCACATAAAAGTCGTTAAATCTATTTTTACTAAATAATCTCATTTATCCATTTGACTCTGTACATAAATATCCATGGGTCCTTTTTTTTTTTTTTTTTTAACCGTACTTATATTTGGCCTTATCTAGATTTCGTAAAGACAATGCTTTCTTTACATCATTCACTTGAACAGTTTAACATTGTTATAACAAAGACATGCCACCTACTGTTGCCAGATCAAAAAGAGCTATAGTTATCTCCCTTGCACTACTCAAACATGGAAGCTTCCCTGATCACTACACTTCCAAGTCAAGAGTCAATCCCTACTTCTCTTATTCACATAATCTTCACTTCTTATCACCTTCTCTTCCATTCATGTTACATCCCTCATTCACCAGAATCATTTTAACAGTAACCCTCTAAATTGAGTGGCACACAAGCCATGTATTGAGTGAATCCTAATATATATAAAAAAAAAACATTAAAAGTTACAAGCATGACAAAAAAGCAAAAGGACATTAGGCCTCAATTTTTAACATTAACACATTTTTTCCAGAAAAATATTTTAAATTTTACTATTACTTTAAAAAATGTATTACTTTATAATGCCAATGAGGCTAAACATGAAAAATGAATTAATTTATAATGTCAATGAGGCTACCAATGAAAAATGTATTAATTCATGTCAATGAAGATACTAATGAAAAAAATGTATTAATTTATATTATCAATGAAACTACTAATGAAAATGTATTAATTTATAATACCAATGAAGCTACCAAAAAAAATGTATTAATTTATAATACCAATGAAGCTACCAATAAAAAATGTATTAATTTATAATACCAATGAAGCTACCAATAAAAAATGTATTAATTTATAATACCAATGAAGCTACCAATAAAAAATGTATTAATTTATAATACCAATGAAGCTACCAATAAAAAATGTATTAATTTATAATACCAATGAAGCTACCAATAAAAATGTATTAATTTATAATACCAATGAAGCTACCAATAAAAAATGTATTAATTTATAATACCAATGAAGCTACCAATAAAAAATGTATTAATTTATAATATCAATGAAGCCACTAATGAAAAATGTATTAATTTATGTCAATAAAGCTACTAATAAAAAATGTATTAATTTATAATGTCAATGAAGCTAAACATAAAAAATGTATTAATTGATGTCAATAAGGCAGCCCACGAAAAATGTGTTACTTTATGTCATTAAAGCTACTCATGGAAATATATTAATTTATGCCAATAATGCTACCCATGAAAACTTTATTACTTTATTATGTCTATGAGGCTACCAATGATGTCAGCCATATTTGAGCATTTGATCATTACTCAAATGGCATTAATGGTCAGAGTGAGCAGAAATTTATTTTGCCAAAATATTTTGGTAACACAGATTTCAATTTTCATGGACGTTTGAATTGTTTTTTTTTTTTTATTTTATTTCATTTTTTTTATTTATATATTTTCTCCCAGAATGATAAGAAAATAGAGCAGCAGCCTCAAAGAATACATCCCTACAAAAAAAAAAAAAAAAAGCTATATTGTATAAAAAATTTCAAAAACCAACTCCTGAAAATGGTTTCCCGATTTTGTTAACCTTTATATTATTGAAATAGCAATAAATCAATAGTCCCCTTAAACTAGGAAAGGGCATTCTGAAGCCAAATGGCATTTACTTACCTCTTGCACAGCTTGTGAGGAATTTTTCGCCACACATGATTTTTTCACAAATCAAATGTGTACATTTAGAGTCAAAGACCTGATAAAAAAAATGAAAAAAGAAAAAAAATGATAAGCATCTATTATGTAGATTTGAACAAACAAGAACATTTATCAATTTGCTGACCTATATATTAAAAGAAAAAAAAAAAAAAGAGAGAGAAAAGTCCAATGTGCTGGTATTACAGATAGAAGTCTGTGTATGGAGTCAAGTGGGCCCTAAATGATTTTATTTGCTTGAAGTGTGTTGCATTTTTATAACCAGCACACAGTCTATGAAGTAAAACTTTCAAAGCACTCAACCACTTAGTCAAAAGGAAATAAAATAACAAATAATTAAATAAAAACTTTCAGGAACAAGTTGCACTAGAAGTTTGAAAGTTCCGCTCACTGGTATATGTAAACTGATACAGTTAGAATTGAGAGTAGTTCCAAAACTGCCTATTGGGTAGTACAAGTTGGTCCATCAAGTCAGAGTTCTAATGCCACCTGTGTGCAAGTTGCCAGTTTCATATCATGATGTAGAGAAGGGCATAAGATGATAAGAGAGAGTTCTAGCTGGTTGAAGAGAAAAGCTGATTCATTAATCTGTCATAACAGACATTGTACAAAGTGTTACCTACCTACCCTCCAGATAGTGCAAATGAATCCCTGAATAAACAACTAAATTTATTGGAAACAAGATTTGTGTCTTCATTTTTCATCATTGCATAAATTTCAACTTTTGTTTCCCTTGTGAACATACAAGAGGTCTTCTGCAGTTTTTGTGCATACTGAAGCAAACGAGAATAGAGAGACTGTGGGGTTATTTGTCAAGTCAATATAAAGTCCATGTGTAGTCTTAAATTTTCTTAACTTCAGTCCTATTCATGATGAAATCTACTTGTAAAAACTTCAGTCCTATTCATGGTGAAATCTACTTGTAAAAACTTCAGTCCTATTCATGGTGAAATCTATTTGTAAAAACAGTTAAAGAATCTATTATATTTCTTTCAAGTATCCACCAGAATACACATGACCAAATGATGTGGATTTACAGTATTTAATTTGTATGTCAATAAAAACAAAATAATTGAAAGGCTCAGAAAGGTTTTAATATCTTTAATTTAAAATCACCAATTTTACACAAGTGGGTGCTGAAAAGTTCTTAGTTCAACCAAGAAATGGAGTCCTAGCCAAATGAAATTTGACTGAATGACCAAACATCATTCTTTTTTTTTTTTTTTAAAGAAAACTTCCTTGGTTGGTTTGAGAACTTTTCATCTTTTATATAAGAAAATTAAAACCAACGCTAAAAAAGATTAATTATAAGTATAGCAACAGTGTTTTAAAATGTCTATAACAGCAAGGTTTTAAAAAAACCTTAATTGTAATGTTTTAAAAAAATTACAATTAAAACAGCAATGGTTTAAATACTTAAATTGTAATTCTTTAAAAAAATTTACAAATATAAATTAAGTTATCTCCCTTAGATAACATTAATTTTTTTAATTAACAGAGTGCATTTCATACACATTTACAAAAAAAATTCACAACTATCAATTACATTAATTTTTTTGTTTCAACCACTTCACCCGTGTAGATGATCTTGGATAAGATTGAAAAGGAAAATAAAAGAAATGAGGAAAACTACAGCACCATCCTTAATGAGTTTAATAACAATACTAAGAAATTGATCCATGAATTTGAGAGGATTAAAATAAAAAACATGTCTATATATATATATATATATATATATATATATATTTTTTTTTTTCCTTCTGTATCAGGAACTGGCCGAGGGCACGAGGGTGACCTCATCTTCACTTCAAGGACATCTGCAAAAGCGACATGAGGCGATGGACATTGAGATTTTGGACAGTCATGTAAGTACATATGGCATTTATGATTATGAAGTCTGATCAAAAAGTATCAGGATTGTTGCTATGGTAAAGGAGCTGAAGTACACAGAGTGAAGCTGTTTAGCACAGATTGATTTTGAACTACACACTAAGTTATAATGTTCTCAGTCACCTTTGGTGCCTGGAAGGAAAGTGTGTAGAGTGTGATCACCTCACCACACCACAGAGGTTCCATCAGTGACCATGACTTGTGCAGCAGTGTTTTGCTAAGCATGACAACCACTATATTACTCAGATCTTGTCACTTGCAACTTTTTCCTTTTCAAAAATCAAATCCTGCTTGAAAAGAACAAGATTTCAAGAATGCAAGGAAATCCCCAAAACAGAAGTTCCAAGAGTGCTTCCACCAATGGAAACGACACTGGACAAAGTGTTGGCTTCAGAAGAGGACTACTTCAAATGATATTAAATGCTGAATTCATGTGTGTTATAATTTGATCATACCTTCTATTATATTAACTTGAGAGCCCAAAGACCATCAGTTTATTTTTCAAGTCAAGTTTACTTGTGGGCTAATGAAACGAGTTCTAAATCTGGATAAGTTCCAATGAAAACAAAATGAGGTCATTTTGCTCTGCAGAATAAAGAATTCTGATTCTGTATGGTTTGGTCACAATTTTATATATATATATATATATATATATAGATATAGTCTGGTCAAACCTAGAGAGCCAGACAAACCTACCAAGATTTCACCTAAGCGGATCGTCAAGAAAACTGTATATGTTTTGTTTCTTTTTTAATGTTTGGTCACGTGGTCTTGGTCTTTTGTTTATCGCCTATATGTATGCAGTTTTCTTTACCTTTTTAGCCAGCTTTCCCTGATGATCCGCTTAGGTGAAACCTTGGTAGGTTTGACTAGGTCTGCTCTACTTTTGCATTGAGCACTTTAAGTTAGTTGATTACTCGTATCGGGGTTTTTTTTCTTTGGGCTTTGGACCTGTATGCTGTACGATTATTTTCGACAGACGTTCATGTTCATAGCTCTTTCTTTTTTTTTTAAAACCTTTTTTTCCTTCGAGATTGATTTGACCATTAGCAAATCAAGAAACCGAAGGTTTTCCGAGACGAGTGTAGTTACCTAAACAGAGGTTTCTTCTTAGGTTAAATCCAGAATAAATTCTTTTGTACCTTCTCAGAAATTCCAGGTGAAACCACAATCGTCTCATTGGTTCACACTAGTCTGTTCAACCACTATAACTCACTGGAATCACTTTTTCCGGGTGACAGTTCTGATCACAACACAGGCACCAATTTGTGTCTACTCGTAATAATTGTAAACATGCCCACAAAGGGGCTAGGTCCTTTTCTACTGATAGAATGAGGCACTAAGTAGCCCTTAAAAAGTTCAGCTCTTGTGACAACTGGCAGCTCTGTAATACAACATCGTTCTCACGGATGAAACATCATAAGCCTCTCACTACTCTATTGCTATTTCCATGGAAAGTGTTCAGATGAACAACATTCTTTAATTTTACCAGTACTAAACTTCACGGTTAAAACCTGCCATGCCACACACATTGTAGCAAACCACCCTCATCACCTTATTCCATTGGTGAGTTGTAAGTTTCACTCAAGGAGCTTCTTCCCCAGAAACACTGCTTTGTAGAACCAACTGCCAAGAGGATGCTTCCCCGATCACTACAATCTTAACCTGTTCCAGTCTAGGGTTAACTGTTATCTTCACCACATATTTGCATAAATTGTGCCTCTTACTCTATAACCCTCTACTTTGAGTGGCTCTCGGACCTTGTACAGGGTGAATATCACTATAAAAAAAAAAAAAAAAAAAAAAACAAGTTTTCTATCCCTTCTCTCTTCACTCAATTTGAAGTTTTAATATATATTGATAAAACAAATTTTTTTTTCTCGTAAATTCTCATCAAATTCTACTCTTCACTCATCTGGAGTACCTTTGCCTAACTTTCTGCTTAGAATCGAGACTATTAAGTGATATGCATATAACTCCATCCATGGTTTCTGATATCATCTATAAACTGGATCCTCACAAAGCATGTAGACTTAATGATATCCCTGCTATAGTGCTTAAATGTGCTCCTGAACTGGCTCCTGTTCTCTCTAAACTCTACAATAAAGGCCTTGCTGCTTCTTGCTTTCCTGCTTGTTGAAAATCCTCTTCTGTATTTCTAGTCTTTTACAACTGAGGTGAAGCGTCCAATCCTTCTAACTATTGGCCTATTAGCCTTCTAACTCTTTTTGGCAAAGTATCTGAATTCATTAAGCATCTCACCTCAGGGTCTTCTTTCAGATAAGCAATATGTGTTTTGCTTCTCTAGGTCAACTGCTGATGTATTAACAATTATTGCTGAAAGAGTCTATCAAGCTTTAGATAACAATGGTGAAGCTTGGGCTGTTGCTTTGGATAGCATTTGAAAGATTTTTTTTTTTTTTTTTTATTTCCCCCCAAGCTAAACAATAAAGCCACTAAGACACAAGAGCTTACTGAAAGAATATGAGAAAAAGAAAAACATTATTAAGGAGAGAGAACAATAAAAGAACAGAAATTAAGACAGAAGATAACGACTGACATTGCATTTAAATTTTTGAAGATCAAAGTTGACAAGAAAGCGAAAATCCAGAAAAGAGTTCCACAACTGAGAAGCAAAACTGTTAGAACTTATGGTTACATCTAGCCATTTTGTAAAATGATGAGACCTAGCTGCCAATCTAGTACTGCACTTAAATTCAAGGTACCAAAGAGCAAAGCTCATCAGAACAATTATCATGAAAATCTGTATAGAAAAGGCACAAGGAAGCTACATTATAGCAGTGGGAAAATGACTGAAGCCAAGATGCCAGGTCAGAAACAATAACATTGCAGATTCTTTGGATTTTATCAAGAATCTCTAAATAGATAGCAGAAGCACCAGACTAACTCTAAGATTTAACTTAATAGCTTTCACTTAAGGCCAAACATCAACTGCTGATACCAGTACTAAAATATGCAACTGCCTTAGCCATGAAGCAGGCTCCTGATCTATAACCCCTCCCCTGACCTACTCCAACTTTGTACTGTAAGCAAACCTAATATACCTATCAAGTAGATATTCTTCAGATAAAGGAAAGACAAACCTCT